AAGAAAAATTCGCGTAAACAAATATACTGAACCAATGGAAAAATAGAGATTGATGTCAGAAGTGAGTGAGATAATACAGTAAATCATGAAAATTCATTTTGGAATCCGAGCGATTGTATAAAATCAGATTACATCGTGTAAAAAGAAAACAATTTTTTCTTAATTCGTGTTAAATCAAATTAAATCGTGTAAGAACAGGAATAATTCGCGTTGGATCAAGACCGCGTAAAAACGGATCATTGTAAATGGATCATTTACAAGAAAAACATGAGATCGCATAAGATGCTCATGAAATCACTAATTTCGCGGACACGTTGGTATGAGAACCGGGTTCGACGCGGACCACTTAACAGATCGGTGATCTCGCGTCCGTGTTAACGAAGAACCAGGAATCTCGGTTAACGAAATTCAACACGGTGAGAATTTTCATGCCAGCCAGGAAATGGAATTGGGAGCATCCAAGACAAATAAACTTCGCTATACTATATTTCATAACTGCATTCCTGTTACCCACCAATTACTTCTTTCTTATTTTCACACGTCAAATTCACTTCGCGTGAATCGCTGAGGTGCAACGGCAAAATGAAATTAACGAATGGATGCGTTCTGATCAACTTTGGTGAGTTTGTCGAAGAATCAAATGCACAAACGAACTTCCAAAACTAAGAAACTAGTCAGCACTAATAAATAAATAAACTTCCGAAACTGAGAAACAGTTCAACACTGAAAAATAAGCAAAGAGTTCTAGAAAAAACTTCACGTTAATATGCTGATTTCTATAATGAATTCTAAACAGAAATTTAATAAAGAACTCTTAAACGGATACAAAAACATCTTCAGAAAATCACAGTTTTCATGTTTCCCTTCTGCCTCCCATAAACACATGAAATTCAAAATGAAATTCTCGTTTTCTAATCTAAACAAACTCATCACCCACGAGAAACTTCATTTTTCTACTCTAAATTCAGTTCGATTTTGTAATCAAAATACAATTAACTCGTCAAAAATATGCATTTACCCTTTAACTCTTTGAGGCACACGATTCTAAAGAAGAAAGCAACTCAAACTGCACACAATTCGCTCCGTTAATCGCAGCAGCCTCAACTACCAATACATTTCGACTTGTACACATTTTTCTTTTCACTTATTCATTCGCCGTTAGTTCATAGCATTGTTTAATAAAATATTAAACTGCACGATTGTGCATGAGGAGCTAAGCGAAGGGTGGGATAGTTTTTAACCCACCTAACCTCGAAGAGTTAAAACGGAGGTAGAAAGCTTCACGAGAGTTCACTCCGTCGTCAGAATCTTATTTCACGTGTCACGATCATATTCCTTCGTCGAAGTATCGCGTGAAAATCAATTTAGAGAAGCCGTGACTGCGCGCGGGATTAATTTGTTGACCCGCATAAGTGTCGCGGGCAGCGTGCTCAATGTCAAACGTTTTCTCCGCGCGTCCTGGATTCCCCGTGAAAAATCGTAGTCAAGCTCGTCAAGGTGCACGGGCAAAAATGCAATTTGTCACGGAAGCACGATCCCGTGAATCGCGTGTTCCCGTATCTCGCGCGAGTCGGCCGAATCGAGTACATAACTGGGCCAGGCTAACGTTGAACACGCACCGGCTTGTGATTCCCATTAACACGTTGACTGCCCGGCAATCATATTGACTTCCTTGTATTTTTCTGAAGATATTGTAACAGTGTACGCCTGATCCTCGATTTACGGGACAGTTTTTCAGGACACTGAAATGCTCGTATTTGGAGGACTAATTCGCGAACAAATGATGTTATCAGTCGAACAACAAGAGATCAATTGATATATAATTTGGCTTCGTACGTTGAAGGAGAATTTAACCTTTGCGCTCGATTTATTTTCAATGTTGTTGTAAACTTGTATTTGTTTTTAGGCAAATGAGTTAATGTAATTTACAGCGGTAGAATTTAACGTTTTATATTTATTTTGTTTGTTGTTATTATAATAAGATTTAATTTTTATAACCTTTTAAAGTGTGGTACTTTTTAAAACAATTTCCAACAATAACACGTACTTTCGTTCTCTGAAATGTCATTATTATTATTTCATTTGTTTGGATATATATTTCTTTAGTTCTCAGCTTTTCTTTACAATATTTTATTATCTCTCATACCGAGAAACTCGACTTTTCCAATTTTCATTCGTGTAACACGAACCCATTTGAAACCGACTTCCGACTTCTACCATGGAAAATTGAAAATCAACAGAAAATAATGATAAATCTTGATATCGTATCCATTCTGAAAAATGTCTAGCTTCGATCTCGAAGATTAGAACTTCTCCGTTACCACGGTAGAGTGAATACAAGACAATAGACAATTCGTTTGTACGCCAAACAAATATTTAACTGGTTCGCTTGTTACTCGGATGTTTTGTTTCGTTTATGAAATTTTCGTTCTATCATCTCATTGTTCCTTTGTTGCAATCGTCCATCGGTACATTACCGTCCCGTGTGTTTACGAAGCGAATTTATACGTTCGAACGTTTAATTCGCGCATCCCACGCAAGCGGGAAGATCGCGTTAACCCGCCCACGCGGGGGAGGCGTGTGAAATACAATTTTTCGGGGCGGTTTTCAATCGGAATTCCCGGTGTTCTCGCGTTCACGCTTCGCTGACACTTGTCGATGTTACCTGTCCCTTTAAATAAACGAGGGCGTTTTAAATCAACGCCTATGAATCACCGACGCCCACCGAAAGACAGCAATACGAGCGCGTCATCTATCATTTTCGTTCTCGTTACGGAACGCGTCACATCGTTTCGCACCCCCGCTTTTTTCGGGGACTGTCATCGCCGACCGATGAATCGGCGATATTCGGAGGCGCGTTCCTTTATTCGACGCTTGGGGACGATCGAATGTCTAATAAGGATGTCTTATACTTCAGACACGGGTATGTACGATAACCGAGGCTTTTGAAGATGTTTTATCGACAAAAGTTTATTAAGAATTGAGAGGGAAAAGAAGATGTTTGGCTGAACAGATTTCATCGGGAATTGAAAGGAAAAGATGCTTGATTGGATGGAATTTATCGAGAAATGAGAGGAAGACGTTTGGTTGAACAGAATTTATGGAGAATTGAAATGAAAAGATGCTTGATTGAACAAGGTTTATTAAGATCTGAGAGGAAAGAGAAGGTGTAATTAATAAACATTCTATGTATCTTTATTCTTTCGCGAGACCAATTTCGAAGAATATATAAACGAAAAGTAATAATTGTAATTAAAAGTAATCAAGGACTAAGAGAATTTTTAATCAAACTTTGATGGTTTGCACGTACAATGCATTTTAGAATATCACATGTAAGAAGCAAATAATTTAATAAAAATTTAACATTAACAACATAAGTATACAGTAATAAGGTTGCAAAGTAAATAAATTGTAAAATAAATCGTAAAATATTGACAAAGTTCTACTGAAGATATTAAATAAAAATAATTTATAAAATATTCGAACAGTATATATCATGTATGTACTATTATTTCGATAAAATCTAGTCCTGGTTCACCCAGACGATCACAACCTTTCTACTTTCCATTAGCTCCTCTTAACCAGCCACATCGACTCTCGATTCTCGACTATCGGCTCCGCTTATCAAAGAAAGTCCGTCTCTTTTAAACTCTCCCAGGAAAGAGAGCAAACCCCCCTGAACCGAGCCAGTCTAATCAGCGTTACGATTCGTATCGAACCTTATCGGAATTCCATCGACCAACGTAGAACACGCGGAACGAGACATTTCTCGATTCCTTCTTCCTGCTCTCCATTCATAACCTTTCGCAGCCGCGTGTCGTACTACTGGTTATAACTAAATTATATATTTAGAATCGAAAGTGTCAATTAACCCCTTGGTCATGAGATACTAATAGAAATGATTTATGAATTTAGAAAAACGCATATTCAGAGACGAAAGAGTAAAAAAATCAATTAAAATCGATTAAAATTAATTAAAATCAAAATGATACTACTTCTTTCAACGATAAATTCTTTATTTTTTCACATAAACATGTAATTCTTCTTCGTGTTGCTTTAGCTTTTCGTTAGAATATATTACAGTTGCATTTCGCCTGTGACGAGTATACACTTCATTATTTGATTTCACTGGAAGCATTGTCAGGGATTTCTGAAATTAAAGTCCACAGTTAACAGGTTAAGGAAAAAAGATCACGGTAGTGGAGTCGTCCAGTAGATTCGCAGACAGTCGAGCGAGAGGCGACTTTACGGGTCGTTTGACCGGCGCGGAACGGGAAATTACGATTTCCAGTGAGTCGATCACGCTCGCGCGGTTAAGATCGGCACTCTCCGGGCTCGTTATCCGGTTTTTCCCCGCGGGTTACCGATCCTCGTTGTATAACGCTCCCGGGGTACGTTTATCGGCCTGAAAATTTGTTTCGGTTAACCGACCACAATGATTAGTAGCCACCGTAATGGTACACGACCTCGGAATTACCACCGTTGACGCTTGTTTCGATGATTTATGACTGCTGAGTGCCTCCGGAAAACGGCTTTTTTAACACTGGACCTACGGAGCCCGTCAACCTGACGGGTATTGAATTTTATAAACATTATTCCGTAAAAGTTTATCGCTTTGACTGACGAGTAAACACTCATTAAACGTCCCATGCAGTCGAAACAGTTCTCTTAACACTAAACTACCGAGCTGTTAGAGTGATTTATTTCTAGTTTTTTTTTAATAACAATTAGAATAATACGTTTCTTAAGATTTGAAAAGTTTGCTGGTTTTGTACCTGTACAAATACGCAAATTTAATGAAAAATCTCTTGCGAAAAACGTCTTCGTGATTTAAATACTTGCAAAATAAAAATTCTACAGTGGGTCAATTTGACCAAACCAATAGTTTTAGTGTTAATTAAGAAACTACAAAGTGAAGATTCTTTGTAATGATTGCTTTACTATCTTTCACGTAATTAATAGGAGTAATTTAAATGTTTCTCTTATTTTATCTGTTGCAGCTGGTTCAGCAGCCGAAAAAGGATACTTTGGTCCATGGAGGCAGTGTAAACTCCTTTTGTACGGTCGCGAGAGATGCGGTCAAGGTGTATCGAGGTTTCAACCAGTGTGTGAGTTCATTTGAAAAATTATTCATTCCTCAAACATACAATATTGTTCTGAATCAAGTCTTCGTAGAACTTCTACTTCATTCTTTTATTTCATTGCGCGCAAAATGAGAGATTTTTCGAACTAAATTCCACAGTTAACAGATTAACACTAAAACCACCGAGCACTTAAAATGACTTTTGAAAATTTCATTGTAAAAACTACAAACGTGGATTTATTAAGATTTGAATTGATTTAAATTTCAGATTAGGTATTACCTAATCAGCTCCTTTAGTAATTTCTGAAAGAGGTATTCGTACCTCTTCAATAATTGCTAAAGAGAAAATCAAGGAATCATTTTGACCTGTTTGGTAGTCCTAGTGTTAACAACAGGACGTATCGCTATATAACAAAACATAACACACTAGACGAAATTCATACTTAACATCGGACTTTCATTGAATAAAACAAATTCAAATATCGAATTTTTAACCCTTAACAGTCGTAAGTTACCTCTGACAACTTTGTGTAATACTGCTTCATAAAATAAATTTCTAACGAAAATGTTGTTCTTGCAATACCGAATATTTTTCACATATTTGCTGAGAACAACTGTAACTTAGTGAGAATCATCTATTCAAAGTTATAAGGGTTAACACCTGAAACATATTGGCGAAAGAAAATGTTAAATGCAGTATGCAGATGAATTTATCATTACTCTCTTTCTGTGTAGTGGCCGTGTGGGTGGCAGGACTAGCCGCTGCAACCGCTTCTGCTCTTTTGGCGATCCTGGTGGGTCTCGCCGTGTTGCAGCTCGCGATGGCTTCCTCGGCGAAACGAGTGCTCGTCTCGTACAGCACAGCTTTGATAGGCAAAGTGGCCCTTGCTACATTGGCGAGTAAGTAAATACCTAAGTACAGTTCATGTTATACATAATCACGTTCATGCTGACCTCCGACAAAGCAAGACTGTATACACGCGAACGATACAACACTGCTGCGCTGCAGCGATTGTTTCGTAGCAATAGAAAAATAAAGTTCTTCCGTTTCACAAAAAGAGAATACGAGAACGTGGCGGAACCCCTCTTACTCTATCAGCAGGGGGCTACTGACATTTAACCTTTTAGCTACGGCGAGACTAGCCGCGAAACTATATCTCTGTACGGCAAGGTTTGACGCGGTCTGCATATCATAAACGTAATATCACTGCGATTTGGGACCGAGTTTTCCACTGTGCAATTACGTTAGATTAGATTTAGTCCCAAAATATTAACCCTTAGCACTCCACCTGATTTTCTAATCAGCAACCCCAAAACATTCTTAGTCCTCGTGATGAATATGAAGAAATATTATAACATTTCTTAGATTTTTTGTTTGTCCTTAGGAAAAGATTTGCGTGTGCAGCAAATACAATAATAGGGTAGATCTTTCACTTTTGATCATCGAAATGTTTAATAACATAAGTGGTGCCGTAGTAGAGCCTACAGAGTGCAAAGGATTCGGGGAAATGATACTGGCCTGCAAAATTTAACTTCGTTTTGCTACAGATTTGGGTGATCTTAATAGTATTTTTCATGCTAGATTCGAATATGCAATCCGTTTTCTCGATTTTAGCATGAGAAACGATATTAAAATCACCCATTAAACCTTCCGTAACGAAAATCGTGTGGACCGGTAATCAAATGTACGAGCAACATGCAAATTTTTCAATATTTGCTTTACATCAAGAAGAAAGTCAGAAAAGTGACCGTAAGAATGGCTGTCTTGTATTGGCTAAACTTTCATATCGATGTCACCTTCTGGTCATTCCAAATCGAAGATTTATGTAAAATAAGTGTAAACTGGAACATATTTCCCACGTGTGTTATTAGCGTCAATTATAATCGGCACACGAGGAAGCAAGACGCGTGAGAAATTCAGAATGTAGCGCAGGATCGAACTCCAGAATAATCTGAAAGTTTTGCAATCCGGCGTCCACGATAGGATTACTAGAGTCTCGTCTACTTTCCGGCCTACTTACTGACCCTTGGACGCGGGGAATCGAATGTCCGCGGTGGATCTTATTGCGTTAAACGATATCGTACAGTCTCGTGGTGTCAAACAGGATTGCCACAGTCCATCGCATCAATGAACTTTAACCCCTCGGCGACCGATTGTTTTTTGTTTCGCTTTCGGACAAAATTAAGTTGAAATTAATAGGTTTAACTTATATGAAAATGCTTAATTGGCAAAATAATTTCCACTTTCAAATGAAATAACTGAGTTTTTTCATAAAACATATTCCAAACTACTATTGGATTGGATAATACTGCAACTTAAGCGACTTGTTTACCGAATTCAAATGTTTAATTACGCTCTTGGACGTATTATACTGTTTATATTTGAAGGGGAACATTTAACTATTTTTTTAATTACTGTTTCACTAACCAATTCTGCTTCTTCTATTAAAAGATTTTTTCCAGGTGAAGCATCTATCATTTTATTAGGTGATTTTGTAGACTTCGATTTTATTAGATTCATCACAATTTAGGTTGCAAATGTAACCACATACCGATTTTAAAAATTCAAGTATGACATTAGGAAATTCATCAGATTAAAATGGCAAACTATTGTAAATAACAATAAATATTATATAATTTCTCGAATACATATAATTCGTTTAAGGAATGAAGAAGAAATATAAAATACTATTGAATTTATTTATGTTACAATCCAATAAACTTTCTGATTTCTTTATATATTATTTATTAATACAGTAAAAATTTGTATTCTTTTTCAGCGTCATTAGCCATTGTAGCAGCGAGCCTGTTCGCCCTGCAGACTGACGACAGAGCCGGCAGTTTCATCGTCACGAGGGGAGAAGCATTTTACATGCAGGTAAAACATATTCCATAAATTTCATCCAAGAATTCCTCACTTCTGTCAATCGAAAACAAAACAACCATTCTTATCAAAATCAATATCTTTCTGTATAAAATACAAATGATCAACGTTTTATTTCTCCTTTCAAATGTACTCAATTTGCAAGAATATCTTATCTCATATTTATGAAAATTAAATTCAATAAACATACCTTTTTATTAAATTTTAATAAATTGAATTACATTATTTTAAGTACATTAAAAATCTTTCTAACTTATAAGTACTCACCGTACTGTTACAAAAATTCATATTCTAAAACGGTTCTTCCCAAAAAATCTTATAAAAAGCATTACATTATGTCTCACACATCTTTTTGTATTATGTAATTTATATTAAATTTATATTATACAGTTTACATTTAAATATATATCATTTGTATCGCATAAATGTATGTATCTATACATATTCCGCGCAACGTTACACTTTCTCTCCCATAAATGCATAAAGATCCACACCATACGTACAGTCGTATAAAAAATTGTCTTAGTCCGAAATTCCCACGGTAAACTTTCATAGCTGCGTCCTCGCGGGCCCAAGAAACATTGTGGACAAGCTACGTTCGATCGCGACTGTATCGGCTGTAAAGGAACTTTCTCCATTACCAATACCAATTCCTCTGGTACCGCGGCGAGGCGTCCATTAGTCTGGGCTATTCTTGATTAGCATATTAGATTTAACGAGGGAAACCTCTCCGCGGGGCTCTTCTCCTTGAATTCCCCGATTCGGCCTGGCCGCTTGTCGTTTACTCATCCTCGGAACCTGTTGCTCGTATCTCGCGGCAGAGAAACCGTTGCCAGTTTCGCTTTAACCCTTAAGTGCTGCATTCGATCTCTCCTCGCTGGGCATTATGAATTAATGGTGAAACGTAAAGGAAAACATCAGTCATAAGTTCAATGATTGAAAGATATGTGATTATAATGGAATTATATAATAATTGATTTATGTGATTATTAAATAATAATTGAAATATGTGATAATCATTTAATGATTAAAATATGTGATAAATAATATTTGAAACGTATGATAATTGTTTAATGATTTAAATCTGTGGTAACTATATAATAATTGAACTATGTGGTAATTATATAATAATTATATTGTAATTACATAGTAAGTATATAATAATTATATGGTAATTACACAGTAATTATATAATAATTAAAATGAAAGAAGCTTGAATTGAAAGAATTGTATAATAATTAAACGATAAACGGTGTCTGAATTTGATACGAACGACATAAACATATCTTACTGTTAACGTCAATTTCATCTATTAAACTAGTGAAATAATAATTGAAATCGGAACTCAGTTCGTTGCTAACAAGGAAACTACACGAAATTTTTCCAGTGCCTAATACTTGAGCCCATCACTAGTATCGAGACGTGACCGGTATGGTGTATCGGCACTAACGCGACCTGTTGATCCTACGTTCACCCAGAAAGATTCAGACGCTTTCGCAGACAAAGAGGACTATCGCCGGATGATTTATCCGGACAATTTCCTGACTCCGCGTTAGACGATACAGATTGAGGCCAGGTGCTGGAATTTCACATGCACATTAAGAAGACCTTTTCTAGCAGATGTTGCTTTTCACTGTGCGATTCGGTGTATAGTTGATTCGGCCGCTTTCGAATGTTTCGTCGGGCTTAATAATGGCGCACGTGGGACGTTACAAATGGTTTAGCAGCTTCTGAAACACTGGCGCATAGAACTGAGGATCATTCAAGTTTTCCTGAAAAATTCTCAATATTTAAGCTACTACAACCTATAGCTACTGCAAAGATGTTAACAACGTTTACTTTGATATCCTCAGGTTGATTGTTTTAAAAGTTACTTTTGCGCTATAAAGCGAGTTAGAAAGCAAACACGGTTCATTTCCACTCGATTTTAATCCAAACGGTTCTATGAAGTTTGAACAACTTGGTTCCGACAGAAATTTCTATGAATTTGAAAATTGAAGTGTCCTCTTCGTAACGAGCTCTACTTTTTATTGCTTCCTTATTGCACGAGATACATAACAAGCCAAAGCTCAGGTTTCGAAATTCACTTCGTATAATCTTAACACTAGTATATACGTGTGAAATCGATAGCGATACTACTAAAAATCCTAGATACTAAATTATTTTTTAACCTTGCACGTGTTTAATTGCACGAACACATATGCTGGTTGTCCCTTCTTAAACCCTTAATATCCGAGATCTAAACGAACGAACATAAATTGTTCTAACAACAGTAGACTGTACAATAAATATCCGCAGACCTAGCGCTGAGAGTTAACCCCAAGCTTTTCCAACTGCACCGAGAGCCTCGTTTAACCCTAATCTACGAATCCTCCAATTGCGAGTTTTGTAAAATCATTCGGGTCGCATAGCTGCTGTGAAATTTGTTGCGTTACCGTGGCCCCGAGCCACCAATTGCTTAATGGAGTAATTAAGAGCGAACCGCGCTGATAACTGTACCGATTACACGGAATTTATCGGACTTCGGCGCACGCGCGCGCGCAGCCACGCACGCGTCAGGTGTTTCCTCTGCTTTTATTCTTTCGTAGGAGATGTAAAGGGTGTCCCGATTTAATCGTGTCGTCACGTGACCGACGTTAAGCCGCGACCGTTTCGGATAGCAATCGCGCAAGAATGTCCCGGTTATTGAAGCATCGCGAGCGATAACGATGACTCGGCTCGGTCGTCCGTTATTATTGACAAATCGTGTCTTGGATTTCCTTTTTCCTGCTGGCTAGCTGTCGCAATTCAACCGTGGCGTGACGAACGCCCGTTGGAAAATATGTTCTCCTGCTCAACGATCGCTCATCGTTCTGGAACGCAAATTTTTCTGCGGACCGAGCATTTTTGTGAACTGATTTATGGAAACTGATGTAACCTCTTGGTCTATGGTTCCTTCTTCAAGAATTATTTATTTAGAATTTATTCAGAAGTCTGTTTTTAAGTCTATTCTGCTTGATGTAATTTATAGCAGCAAGGCTAGTTCCTTTCGTAATAGAGTTACTCATTTATGCAAATGTTTCCTTGTGACGCGTCACAGTAATTATCATCTGTGTTCCCTCTCCTTTTAATACTTCGCATATAAATTCATCGAAACTCTGAAAGTAAATGATTTTAGTTTTAATCTCACGTGCGTGCACAGTGTCTGTCATAATCTCCAGGTTTTTGTACTCTAAGTAGTGATCTTTCAAATTTCGTACAGGAAGTTTCAAGTATGATCAGAGTTAACTAGGAAAACGATCGAGGTAAGTGTCTTGGACTTCAATTTTTCTAATTCTCATGTCCGTTGATCTCTTCTTTGTCTTGTACAACTGTTACTCAATTTAATTCGAAGTGCGACGCGGAATTTTAGAATATGCGACGCTGTTACGAAAAACTAAAATGACTATTCGCTTTGAAGGTGGTTAGCAGAGTAAGCGATTCGCACGGTTCCAATGATCTTGCTCTCAGTCGTTGGAAAATATAAATCAGTTAACGCGTCGACTACTATAAGAATCTCTAGCGTTTTATATAATAGTACTTTTTAATAACAAAGGAAAATGTTATTGAAAATAATTATTAATGATTTGATATCAGTACTTATATTACACTATTATCTAGCTACTTATGTTATTTAATATTTTTATTTAACATCAATCTTTTCATTGCAATTGTTCGTCAGCAATTTAGAAGCTCTGGTCATCGGTGACCACCGCGGTCAACGTGTTAACGCGTTTGAAATGAGGGCGCCCACTTACTAGAATCGAAAGTACGAGCGAGCCGTTGCCATCGAAGCTTGTCTTCGTTTTTCATTTTGGTCGATAGGACCGGCAAACCGTTGTCACCAGGAGTTATGTTCGTTTTTCAATTCGAGCGAACGCGGCGTACGAGCTGCTGACGCAACTCTTAGGGCAACGGCTTGTCACCGGTCGCCATCGACCTTCGACATTATATACCGAACAAAATTGCTAACAAACATAATGTTTCATTTGAACTCGAAATAACTGAATGACAGACAATTGGACCAGTATCCAAAAAGTAGAATTAACCTCTTGCCTTGGAATAACGCGTTAGACTCGTCATGAACATTTCAATTATTTAGGAAGCAAATAATAATTAATTGTTTTGAACGCAAATTAAATATTGTTCTTCTCTTATCAATTATTATATTGTAGGTAAAACGTAGATAAAGAATATTCATAACATTTTTCTGTTTTCAATAAATTATTACTGACAAAATTGTATGAATCACAGTTGAAAAATAGATCACAGGGCAAGGGGTTAATCCGATATTCGTAAACACGAATGCCTATAAGATCTCTTATCAATTATATTGTAGGTCAAACATAGACATAGATTATGCATTACACTTTTCTGTTTTCAATAAATTATTACTGACAAAATTGTATGAATCACAGTTGAAAAATAGATCACAGGGCAAGGGGTTAATCGGAGATTCGTAAACGTGAATGTTTATAAGGCGGGATTTTTTAATCACGTTATACGAGGCTCTACTAAACACGAAGGAATCGTTTCTCTAACACTAATTCGACGATTATACGGGCTCCGCCACGTGGAAACTTATACGTCGAGCGCGCGCGATCAGGGAATTAAATACTAAAAGGCCACCTGATCAGGAACAGCTCGCAGGTGTCTGCTTAAGCCCCCCTGCGAGGCTTAGTTAGTATGTGTCAGGGCACCCACGTCTGTTGAACACTTTAAAAACAATGAGACGACATTGGCGGACGACAGTGAGCGTTTTGGTGCGGATCGTTGGGCACCGCTCGTCCGCGTTCACCTTTTTTCGTCCGTTCATTACGTTCCGAAACTTAGCATCCCACTTCACTTTTTCTTTGTTTCCTTGATTTTATCCAGTTAACTGCGTTCGAGTATACGCGTCATCTTAAATCTATAATAATCATTTTATCGAGGGATTTCAACGAATTTCTGTAATTTAAATCTCCTTAAGGAAATTAGATTAATGTAATACTACAATCATAGTATCTGCTAAGATGGATGGTTTTACTTATCTTGTTTTACAATTGTTAAAATCGTAAAGTTTGTCGTATCGGATACTACTTTTATAATTAGTATTCTCGTTCACAAGGTACAGTGGAATTGTGGGAAAGCCAAATCTAATTTTTCGAAGAAATTTTAAAACGTGAAGTGCTACTGATTCTTTTAATGATAAATTCTTTGTCTTCTCAGATAAACGTGTAATTCTTCGTTTCGCTGTAGTTCTACGTTAGAATTTATAATAGATTCATTGCGTTCGACGAGTATACACTTTGTTATTTGATTTTATTGCGCGCAGTGAGAGACTTTTCAAACGAAATTCCACGGTTAACTGGTTAAGTATAAACTATCGAGTCAGTGTTTCTTTTAATCGTTTCGTAAGTAATGAAGCGTTAGCCGGCAGGAAGAAGCATTTTCCTTTGAAGTAGGAAACGAAAAAAGTGTTGCGCAAGGATTGTTGTGCTCGCAGTGAAAGTTGTTAAGCGGGTCACTGTTTCTCGGGTAACCTGCTCGCTGAAACACGAGACACGACGCGACGGCCGATATTGTCGCGCGATTAATGGACGGGGCCGCGGTTAACCGAGGGAATAGCGTAATCCTGAAATTTTCAGGAGTGCACACGTGATCGATCAATCAGTTGGTTCAGTGAACGTGGCTCTTGTGACCGTTGCTAGGAGACGTTCGTATTACGTTCAGTTTTAATGAAACGAGTGTACAATATCGAAAATAGCAGTTCGGAAGGAATCGCGCGACTTTGTTCCAGAGATTGCAATCGATTAATCGGTGAACGAGTTTCTGGGGATTGTTCTTTGGGATTGTGTATTTTGCTTGGTTTTAATTGTTCAAGGGGTTGACTTTTAAATTGTGACGGTTGAATTGTAGTTTAAAGAAGTGTTGGAGGAAATTTGAATTTAATCGTGCGGATAAATGTATTTACGTTATAATGAGTGATGATTAACGGATTGTCAGCTCTGAAATCCGTTCACTTTCATTCTCGCAAGAATTTAAAGAACGAACTTGAAATCGTAAGTTCATTACAGTGAAGAGAAATATTAAAACTTAACAGTGGATACTAGAAGATTATAAAACTTTAACAGTACAGTCAACAGTGGATCAATCTACAAATAACCAGTATCAGAATCTGCCGATGAAATTAAAAAAATCCCAACTGAAAATCATAAGTTCATTAAATCGAAGAATAGTCTTGAATCTTAACATTGGAAACTGAAGGATTACAAAACTTGAAAATTGCAATCAACGGTGAATCAATCTAGAAATAGCCAGCATCAAAATCTCACACACAAACAAAGCAATAAGAGAAATATCAATTTCTAAATCGATTTGCCGCGATTTCCACAAGGATTAAAACTAAAACGCGAACTCCGATCTCCCTCTTAAAATCCTTAAATCCCCAGAGACCGAGCTCCAAATGAAAGACTGGACGTGTAAGCGCGTGAATTTCGATTATCGACTGGAATCGTGTCTGGATTAGAAACTGGCTTCGCGCGGAACGAGCTGGGTAACAGTGTAGAAAGTATATTCGCACGTGGCCGACACGTTGCAACGATGTTCGCCGCGGGAACGCGATGAATGCCGAAACGCGCGGGAATTTTGCAAGGGAATCACCGCGGGCGTTACGTGACCATTGCTGCGCGCGCGAGCCAGAACGGAACCCGAGATGATGGAGAAGAAGAGACGGAGCCTTCTGCGGGAGGCCAAGGACGAGATCGAGCTGGATAAAATGAACAAACCGAAACAGGGCAAGGTAAAGTCCGTTCGCAGTTTATAACGCCGTAAAACGGTGCGCGGCTCGACTTTCCGTTTGACAGGAAATTACTATGGTCGCGGGGCAATGGTCCCGCGCGGGCAACGAATTATGTCATTAAACGCGTTTCATTAAAACGGGGAGAAAAAAAGGAGAATAAAGAGAGAAAGGGCGCTGAACCAAATGCGCAATCGCATCGACGGGAGAACGAACGATTACACGGACGGAACGGAATCGGGAAGATTATGCAATTGCGCGGCGCTCGTTGCTGTTGGGGCAACTGTCTTCGGTTGATGGATGATGGAAGTTCTGTTGAATACTTTGTAGCGCTGGTTCATTTGAGTTCTGAATGTTTCTGTATTTATAGTGTTTATAGAATTTGTAGTATTTATAGTATTTATAGTATTTATAGTATTTATAGTGCCTGTAGTATCTATAGTATCTATAGTGTCTATAGTGTCTATAGTGTCTATAGTATCTGTAGTATCTATAGTACCTGTAGTATCTATAGTATCTGTAGTATCTACAGTATCTATAGTATCTATATCATCTATAGTATTTACAGTATCTACAGTATCTACAGTATCTATAGTATATATATAGTATCTATAGTATTTACAGTATTTATAATATTTATAGTAGCTATAGTAGCTGTAGTAGTAATAGTAGTTGCAGTATTTAAAGCATTTATAGTTTCTATAGTACATACTTGCAAAGTCGTGGTGGAATACATACGAAAATCATTATTGAAAGTAATTTAAAATTAAGATTATAAAAATTTTTGACAGTAAGAGATGTTGGGAACTGTTTTAAGTAAATTGAGAATCCTCGAGAAAGACATTCCTTTATGAAAGGAAAATGTTACTGAAAAAGTTAATAATTCTGCATCTTAAACAATTATCCATTGTTTTTCTTTAATTTCGTTTGTGTTTGCTAAACTTCGTGATTGCTATCAGACTCAAGTAAGTGCACTCGAAAGAGTATACACTTATTAGCGTGGGAACGTTAGGGGAGCAACTTCTAATTAAGTCTGATTGTTTCATTTCATTCTTAACTTCCCGAAACACTGCACGAAAGAAAAAGAATTTTATTTAAATTAAGTTTCATTAAATCGATCTATTTATGTTAACACGCGTTTTTATGGAATTCTTTACTCTACACGCAAAAAAAACTAATTAATTACATTTTCTCATGTTATCTAAACTGCGCACGTTATTATAACCGACTAAATACGTTTTAATGGCAGCGTACGTTATCAGATCTTCGTTATCACTTTTGCTTCGGCTTAATCTGTTTCACCTTCGATGAGACACTAAACAAGCGTCGTACATCATCAAACATTAGGTCATCCCATAAGTAACGTCGTTTCTTATAGATTCTTTAATTACCACAGAACTTCGGACATGACATTGAAAAGTTAATCAAATAACAGAAGAATTACATTCACATAAGCATGTAATGGTTTTTTATTAAAATATACTCTAGGTGCGTTTGTCCTGCGTTTGATGATTGTTTACTCGCTTTACTTTTTGATTTTATCGCGCGTGAAACGAGAGATTTTTCAAACTAATTTTCACAGTTAACGGGTTAATGGGTGAACATGGAACACGTTCGCGTTGATAGAAGGGACCCGGAAGTGACATTATTAATCAACTTGTCGCTGGCCTGTTTATTTGGCTTTTCCGTTTCTTGCTTCTGCTCTGTCTTCGAGCGACGGTCAGCCAACAATAGAGGGAAAAAAGAACGGTGAATTAATTATTCCGGCGAAACAATGGCTTCCCGGTGTTTTTGTACGTCTCAATTGAACACCACTCTTCCTCTGACCTTTTCTACGTTGTTCCTTGCCTCAAACAAGGCAATTCCGCAGGAAAACAGTAACAGTTTCATGTGAAGTTTTTGGTGCGAAACAATTGCTGAGTCGTCTTGTGTACGTCAGCAAGCACTACTGCTAAAAGAAAATAGAATAATTAGTAAAATTTGTTAAAAATATCGATTTCTTTGTGAAATTATAAATCCATAGGTTGAGTTACTGATAACTCAGTTTTATGGGCCAACGTAATATTATTAATTTAATAAATAAATGTATTTATTTCGTTACTGGTTGAAGAGGAGCTTTATTACAAGTATTCATGAAATGTTAATTGCAATATATGTTAAATCAATATGTGTAAAAAATTATTGACTTTACTATGTTTGACTATATAATCGGTAAAAACGTTTATATTCTTTGTAATTCAATTGTATGTAAACTATTAATTTATAAAGTTAAAATGTATGTTTGTTTAGTTCGCAAAGTTGATCTCCTTTTCAATACTTCATCATTTATAATAGAAATGATCACATATATAAAACAGACTTTAGTACTGATATTTGTTTTTCGAAATGCATATTCACGAATGAAATTTATATTCATAAATAAAACTCTTTTTTTTACAGTTGGCGGCGATCGCCTTGAACTTCGGCGTACTGGTCACCGCAGTGTACGAGGGCATTTATGCTCGACGGGGTGGCGACCCGACGAAAATTAGGGTTGTGGGTGATCCCCGTGCGACCACCATAAACAATCCAGGCTACCGGGAGCATCAACCCACGAATGGTGAGTTCATTCAACTAATGAATGGCTCAGAATAACAGTGATTTAACTATTATGTTATATCTGAGTTCTTGGGAGAAAAAGGTTTTGCGCAATGTTCTTGCATTCATTAGATATTAATATTGCAGATAATAATAATTAACCATTACTAATATTATTAATGAAAAGTAATTAGCAAATTTGTAATAGTAATAATTAAAGGTATTTAACGATTTCTAATATTAATAATTAAAAGTAATTAAGGATTTATAATACCAATGTTTGAAAGTAATTAAGCATTTCTATTGTTAATGATTAAAAGCAATTAACAATTTTTGATACTAATAATTAAATTAACTGAGAATTTATAATATTAATAATTAAAAGTAATTAACAATTCCCAATATTAGTCACTGAAAGTATATTTAATCCGAATATTTAATTAATCCAAGAACATTTCGTAAAAGCTTTTTTCCCAAGAATTTAGAAATAATAGTTATTACTATTCTAAGCCTCACATTATTCTATTATTGAATGACTAAAAAGATGATTTCGAGGAACAATTGATCCGAAAATTCCTCTCCAATGCTTTCCACTAAACAAGTCTCTTATAATATTCTTAAATTCAAATGATCCTGGATAAAACGAGAAGGCGATTCACTCAAACAAGACTCAACGCAGAAAATGATGTTACCCCTTGTTCTATGATATATTTCTTAACTATGATCGATATAATTACATTATCGTTAATAATTTATTAGTTATTGTTTTTGTTTGTAGGGCCCAAATTTTAAAAGCCCAAAGAAACTTTTGGAAATGCAATATGGCGTAATCAGAAAATTTAAGTTAAATAGTTCAAATGTCACTCAAAGTCACATCGTGGTCCGATTAGGGTTAAACCATGCGTTACGAAATATCTAATAAGATGAAAACACGTAAATGTAATTTACTCTTCGTTGCACAAAATATGGAACATTCATCCTCGCAAACATGCTAATAGCGAACGTGTTAACACGTTGACTGTCACGGTAGTCATCGATGATCGAAGCTTTCAAATTACTCGAAAAAAATTGTAATTCATAAGGAACTGGCGTCGAATGAAAATGTTTAATAACGCAAATAACTGTGAGCCTACAGGCGGTTAATTTATATTTTTAAAAAAATAAACAATGCGTTCAGTTTTAAATTTTTACCACGAGTCTGATGCGACATCGTAGGTCAAGGTGTTAAACTATGGGACACTGTTTGGGTCAGATCGTGAACGACATTCATAAGCCAAAAACCGTATTGTCGAGTAAACACACATCTTGAATTGCATCAGGTTAGCTTATTCGCGACGGGGCTAACGTGCATACATAGCAGAGACAGAATTTCCTCCAGTAAATACACACGTTTCATGTTTCCAAGGAGACCTTTCTGACGGGATTACCGTCGGGCGAAGGTTTCGTGAGAGGCGATAGTAAAATTTTGTTTCTCCGGACGAGAAACGTTACGAAACCGTCCCCCGCGCGTGCCTCGAATACCTGAGCGAGCACCGTTTAAATTCTCCTATTTGTTTCCGTCGCAGCTGTACGTGATAGCATCTGTCACTTTGCTTAATCATTCCCAAACAATTGAGATGAAACGGAGAGTAATTCAGGGACAACGGATTTAATGGCTGTCGCGGTAGTAAACTGGAATGAACACGTTTCGAGAATTACCGGTGTTCATGCTTCGCCGTTTGTGGATTTCCCTTATTTTCGTTTTATTAGAAGTCGTCGTTCGAGTGTTTCGTTATTATTATGATAACACATTGTTGACCGGTCAAGAGTTAACTCGTGTTTGCACTTGTATTAGCTATTTCAATTTTTGAAACACGGGGCAATATAGAACATTGCGAAAGCAAAATATTCATAATTATATTTCAATTCATTGTATGTAAATAAGGTATGCTGAAGTTTATTTGGATTGTTTCACTTTCATATTTAATTACGAAATAACAACCGGTGACACGAGATAGCTTCTGCATGGAATTGCCGGTTAACAATGTGTTAACACGTTGACTGCCACGAAGGTAATCGATGACGGAGCATCTAAATTACAAGAAAATAATTATAATTTGGAAGATAAGTAACGTTGCATGCAAATGTTCAGTGACGTAAATAACTAGACAATAGTGTAACGTAAGAATCGTGATACGAAATAATTAATTATTCTTCCTTTCAATCTTTGCTATAGAAAGAATAAACAATACATAACACGCTGATGTTTTCATAGTTCTAGTATTTTCATTTTATTGTATGTGTTAATCGAAGTGTTTGTTATTGTTATATTTTTATGTGAAATATTCATTTATGGGTGTCAATTTATCTGAAAGGGATTATCGATATCTTAATATGTATGAGGATGGTAAAAAGATTAGATTGGAAAGGGTTAATATAGTAATATGTAACTATTTTATAAAACGAAATTTTTTTATTAATTTAGTGGTAAAATACACATTTTTATATATTTTCGATTAGTGTCTTGACGAGTCTTCGCGATTGACGATTCGCTAATACTGCGTTAATAACGATAATAATTTTGAAAGGCAACAAATCAAATTATTATCGACAAATTTTTAGTTTATCTACATGTTTCTAATATCGCTGAAAAATGGAAACCCATATACACTGACAACAATATTCTAAACCTTAAGCGTAATAACTACCCTTAAATAAAATACAAATAAAATACTAAATTAAACAAGATTAAACAAACATAGCGTTAAAAACAATGAAAACGTAATTTACTCGATTAAGATGAAAAAGAACAACAAGAAAAAGCTTAAAGGACGTCTTTCAAAAATAAAATATTGATCGATTTTGGGTACAGCAGCAAAAACCACGACAAATAAGAATTAAATTACCTCACTCGAATATTTGCCACTAATTCTTTGAAAAAATGCATGGAAAACATCATCATACCGTAGAATTGTTCTCTCGGTTATTCTTTCCTTTGTTTCCTGCGCGAACAAATTACATCTCTGTGATTTTCAAGCGTACAAGAAAAAATCCCTCGGTGCCAGTATTCTGCTCAGATCGAGGGGCAGGCGTACATGTATTATTAATACAGAGATTTCATGCTCCGAGTACAGAGCCGTAGTTAAATTGCGTCGGAAGTTTCCCGGCCTAATACTGGTGGGATCAGGGTAACAAATGTCGCTTCGTGTTTCTCCATTTGTCTTTCCAATTTATGCTGGAAATTTCATTCGAGTTCGACTCGATACCCGAGGCACGTGCCACCTTGAAATCCGGCTAAGAAAAGAAAACGATGTTCCTGTAATGTAAACAACGCTTAATCGATAAAGATGACTGAGACCACACTGAAACGGAAGAAAAGTTTCTTTCACTTTCTGAACAACGTGGCAAGTAATTTTCCCTATTGATCGTTTCCCTCGTACCTTCCTATAATATTTTTTCATTTCTTTCCTAATATTTCTGTGAAGTTATTTTCTTCTTGACAGTTTGTCCTACGATGTCTTTCACAACTGTGATCGATAAAACTACTTAATTATTTATTAGAAAAAAGAGAAGATTAGTTGAAGACTGACGGTACTTTTATGAAATACACTGTTTAAAATTGCAGCTTAAAATTATTGGAAAATTATATGTAATCTATGATTAATATCAGTATAATCATTCCTCCTCAATTGACTTCTCAATTTTTCCTATAATAATTATAATACGAGTATATACCGCTAAATGAATTTTATGATCATTAAAGGAAAAGCGGAAAGGTCGATTGAGGAGAAGTGATTATATCCAGAAAATAATTATAAGTGAAAATTTTAAAAGCTGTCATTATAATTAAAAATAGTATTAATATTAATCGATTAACCCTTAATTAATCACTCGTGCAATTCCGTCAGTCGCAGATTTCCTAATTGACACGATATCATGAAAACATGAAAATAATTTTGTGAAAAAGAAATACTCAAATTCAAGTTACATCAAGTTACAACAAATTTTCTTTGAGTTTCAATTTTATATTAATTTTCACCTAGAAATGTCAATCAAAATTCACCTGTATGATTGAAGTGATCATTTGACAAGATTACATAATTTTGAATTCTTCCTGGAATCTTTCAGTAAAATCAAATTTACACGTGTATGGGAGCATTTTCTTTCTTGATAAAGGTTATTTAATGCAAGGATTTTAATGCCATAAGGGAAATAAAGAGTATTTCTCGGAATAGAGGGAAAGCTCGCAGCTTTTACCGCGAACGGGAAGCCTTTCCCTCGGCGGAATGTCATTTGAGCTGATAACAAGGGAAACATGTCCATTTAGCTCCTAATAAGGGCCTTGGGTAAGTGCATGACGTTAAACGGGTCACAGCGAAGGTCACACCTGACACTGTGGAAACACGTGGAATCCGAAGAGAGTTTCAACAATGTTAACATTTTATTTACCGCTCCTGATCAAGGCAACCCCATTGCGTAACTACCAATACGGTTTTCGTCATCGCGTAGGAGTGTCTGTTTTCGCTCGCGAAGATTTGTAATTTAAATGTCAACGTTATAAGGGAATCTCGTAATATCGCTCCGATTGCCTCTGTTTTAAATCAGCGTCATTTTAATCCTTCGCTGTCTGTGAAATGTTCGTTATTTCCAATTTCTGGGAAATGTGTCGTGGGAATATGGATTCTATTTAAATATTAATTCTATTTAAAAAGGGCAGCTGTTTAACACATTCACGCCAGAAAACGAAATATCCCGTTTTGTACTAAAATTGTTTCATCGAATGGAGAGGAATTATTATTTCATTATTACACTCATTATATAAATAATGATATTTAAAACTAATATTATAATATTACAATACTGTAATTCATGTTACTGTTGCAATCACTGATATCAATAATTAATAATAATTAAATAATAACATTAGAATTACCAATATTCACAGTTAATAATAATTAAACATTAATATTACAATTCCCCAGTATTAACCCTTTGAACTCTGTAGGCTCCAATATTGCACCAGGTATAATATTAAATATTTTA